GCGGCTCCGATCTCTGCTCCGGGTGAGCAGGGACAGGATCTCAGGGAATGGCTGGAGCCTTTTGAGAAGTGGCATCTCAAGGGTTGTATTTCTCATTACCTGCTGTGAGATGTGTCTGTGTTGTGTTAATTATTAATGATTGGCCAACCTGGTGATGTGTCAGGGTGAGGGGCAGGTGAGGTGGAGGCAGCTCGGGTTTTGGGATGTTGGTGGATACGTGGGATATGTTCTGGGGATGCACTCAGGGATGGAAATCAAGGGCTTTTGGTGCCTGGGGAAGGGTCTGGAGGGACCACCCAAAATGTGCCTGAGGGCACTTGGCTGGTTCATCTGGAGAAGAGGAGACTGAGGGGAGACTCCCTGGGAGTCTCAGGAGGGGCAGCTCCAATCTCTGATCCCTGTGACAGTGACAGGCCCCAGGGAATGGCTGAAGCTGTGCCAGGGCAGGGTTAGGTTGGATTTTAGGGAAAGCTTCTTCCCTCAGAGGGTGGTGGGGCACTGACCAGGCTCCCCAGGGCAGGGGGCACTTCCCAAGGCTGCCAGAGCTCAGGGAGCGTTTGGACAACGCTCTGTGGGACAGGGTGGGGTTGTTGGGGTGTCTGTGCAGGGCCAGGAGTTGGACTTGGATGATCCCTGAGGGTGCCTTCCAGCTCAGGACATCCTGTGATTCCATCATAGTGGAACGAGGAGGTTGGTTCTCCTCTCAGCATGTTCCTGGTGCTGGAGAAGAGGTGCATCCACAATCCTTGGGAAATGTGCAGCTCTTGTTTTTTGGGAGTGGGGAGGTGAGGCACTCACACCAGTAATCCAAGGAACAACAAAAGAAAGCGGATCCCTTCTCCTCATTCCATGTGTATCCACCTCAACCTTCTGCCACCTGAAAGCGGAAAAGTGGGAAAACTCTGCCAAATAAAATAAACCACTTGTGTACCTGATCCTCTCTGTGGGATATATTTTGGCTGCAGTTCCTCTGTCCCCTTGGTTAGTTGGTCAGGACAGGTGAGTTCCTGTGTTCCACGTGGCAGCACAGATTTCCTTTTTCACGTGAGTTTTCTGGCTGCTCTTTCTGGGATCATTATCCTCTAAAAAGGCTTTTTTTTTTCCCCTTCCTGTTTAAAGGTGGAGCCCCTGAGTTGGTTGTTTCTCTTTGGAGGGAAGAAGGAGTAGTGAAGTGGAATTTTTGGGTCTATCTCTCCCAGCCTTTCCAAAAGAGAGGGAACATTGCTTGTGTGTCTGAGTTCTTCCTTTATATTTATCTGAGAGGAGCTTTTGCACTTGAGTTCTTACAACTTTCCTAATAGGATTGAAGAATTCAGGAAAATCTACCCAATACCAACCCCCTTGGGAACTTGTTGTCATTGAAGACACTTAAATAAACCAGAAAGAAAGACTTTCTTTCTTATTACTTTTCAGTGAGGTGCAAGAAGTCCTTGCTTCCCTCCTAACCTGGACTGCTCAACCTTCTTTACACAAATAGCTTAAATTCAGAAACAAATTGAAGTTTTTTGACTCCTGCCAGTGTATTTTTCCAGTCTTTTGGGTCAGAAACAATGACTTTTCTGGTATTTTACTCTTTCAGTGTAGAGTCCACACCATCTCAAGGTGATGTCTCAGTCCAGAGGCAAAACTCCAGTGATTTAAATGAAATAAATCTCCGTGTTTTCACGTTCTACTGGGTGTATTTTTCAAGGCTTCTCACTCTCAGCAAGTAGATGCTCTGGATTTCTTTGAAAGTTGTGATTGCTGCATGATGTTCAAGCATATGGTTCAGAACAGTTTGCATGCAGTGATTTTATTTTTTTTTTAATAGCTTTACTTTTCCTTATTTTCTCTTCATAGCTTCTTTATGATGATAAATTCTTTATTCAGAAATTGTCAGGAGAGCTCCAAAATTCTCCCCTGCTGGTCCCTAAGGTTGTGACACCCCAGTGTTTAGGTCATAACCTCTATAACTGATCCCAAATGAGTTTTTCCCCATGAATTAGAGAGTTTTCGGTGTCTGTATTTGCTGATTTAAAGCAGAAACCTGTGTGGACCGTGGCTCCCCTTCCAAGGATAAAGAGGAAAATTCAGGATCTGGTTTTTTTACACAAGCCACCTTTTAGTGCTGTAGGTGAGGATGTTTCTGTTGGGGCTTTCTGGTTGTGCCATGGGGACATTCCAGGTTGTGGCCTCCTGGATCTGGTGGCTGGATGGGTCTCGAGGAGGGTGTGGGGTGAAGAGAGAGAGGGAAGAAGAGAAGATTGCATTGATTCTTGAGTAGAAATTTGGGGTGACATCGAGAAGACTTAAAAGGGCAGTTTTGCCAAGTTTTTGGCAGTTTTGTTGGAATCTCAAACTTCATTGATTCAAGTAAGAAATCAAATTAAAAAATCTGGTAAGATGATGTTACTCAGAGGTTAAAATCAATGAGGGGGGGAAATAAAGGCCCATCACCCCTTCCACTAGCCCAGGTTGCTCCAAGTCCTGTCCAACCTGGCCTTGGACACTTCCAGGGATCCAGGGGCAGCCACAACTTCTCTGGGCAACCTGGGCCTCCCCATCCTCCCAGCCAGGAATTCCTTCCCAATATCCCACCTAACCCTGCCCTCTGGCACTGGGAAGCCATTCCCTGTGTCCTGTCCCTCCAGGCCTTGTCCCCAGTCCCTCTCCAGCTCTCCTGGAGCCCCTTTAGGCCCTGCAAGGGGCTCTCAGGTCTCCCTGGAGCCTTCTCTTCTCCAGGGGAACATTCCCAGCTCTCCCAGCCTGGCTCCAGAGCAGAGGGCTCCAGCCCTTGGAGCAGCTCCGTGGCCTCCTCTGGGCTCTGTTCCAGCAGCCCAACATCTTTCCTGTACTGGTTTGTTTGAAAATGGGTGGATTATTGGAAAGCAGGGATAGGCTTGTGATGGATTTCTGTGTCCCTGTGCTATCCCTTGTGTCCCCAGGGCAGGTGAGTTGTAGTAACTCCAACACTCCAACTAAACTCTGAGTCCAAAGTTAGAATTTCTTCCCTCTAACTCATTTATAAATAATAGATCAGGAGATATTTCACATGTTGCACTGTGCCTGTATTAATGACTCTGTGGCAATATGATAACTAATAGACAACTTTCCCTTTTCATAAATTCAGGAGCAGCAAAAAAAGCTCCGAAGAATCTGAAAACTGGCAGAGTAATAAACCACAATATTTATGTGTTTTATTTTCTTGCAGTACGTTGGTCTCTCCTGACCCCCAGGCAGGCACATTTACCAGAATAAACATCACAAAACTTCATTACAAATAGTGTAACCTAAAACTTAGTTTACTAGTGCTTTTTTACCAGTTTTCTATAATTTTTTTTTGTTGTTGTTCAGAATTTCAACAGACAGGGATTTTAATGAAGAGAAGGGTTTTTCTATTTGTGAACTGGATTGAAAAGGAGATGTACCATCCCAAAAGAACCAGTCAAATCCATCCAGAAGCCTTGAAATGAAAGAAAAATTGCCTGAAATCAAAGTAAAATTTCAGTATAGAAAGGTAGAGAGCAGTTGTTTTAATTAAGGCCTTAAGGTGTGTGAAATACACCCTGAATTGGGTGGGTGGTCTTACAAGACCTCTCCTTCCTCCAAACTTTGTCTTCCTCATGATGTTCTGTCCTGCTTGGAACTATTTCAAGGATTTGGGGCCTTCTGAATAGTTTTGATTAAAGTTATATCAAACAATGTGCTGGTTATATCTTGTTTTTGGATGCTCTCTCCAGACTAAATGTTCTTTGGCTTGTTAAAAGTCTCCATCTATTGAAATCCTTGATGAGGAACATTAAACAGTATTTCTGGAATTTAGTGTAAGAGGTATTTTGCTAAGAGTTCTATCCTAAAAGTGCTAAAAATCTATAGAATATAGATTCTAGAGCATCAGTTCCAGAGGGTGTAACAGTGTGTCAAAGGAGATGAGGAGAAAGAGAAGATGAAGGGAGTGGTCTTGGAGACCTCCAGCTCAAATGTGGGAGGTGTGTCAGGGGTGTGGGAGGGATGGGTTTGGAAGTTGTGCTGCATCCAGTTGGCATCCAGTCACTCATGGTGTCCCCAGGGATCAGTGCTGGGCCCAGTCCTGTGTAATGTCTATTGATGATCTGGATGAGGGGATTGAGTCCACCCTCAGATGACCCCAAGCTGGGGGAGTGTTGATGTGCTGGAGGGCAGGAGGGCTCTGCAGAGGTACCTGGCCAGGCTGGATCCATGGGCTGAGGACAGTGGGATGAGTTTCCACAAGGCTAAGTGCCAGGTCCTGTACTTTGGCCACAACAACCTCCTGCAGCTCCAGGCTGGGCCAGAGGGGCTGGAGAGCTGGAGGTGCTGGTGAGAGTGACCGGACATGAGCCCAAGGGGGGCAGGAGGCCAATGGCCCCTGGCCTGGATCAGAAACAGTGTGTCCAGCAGGAGAGGGATTGTTCCCTGTGCTGGGACCTGGGGAGACCACACCTCAAATCCTGTGTCCAGCTCTGGGCCCTGAGCTCAGGAAGGCCCTGGAGGGGCTGGAGCAGGGGCAGAGAAGAGCAGCGAGGCTGGGGAAGGGACTGGAGCACAAGTGCTGTGAGGAGAGGCTGAGGGAGCTGGGGGGGCTCAGCCTGGAGAGGAGGAGGCTCAGGGGAGACCTTCTCACTCTCTGCAACTCCCTGACAGGAGGGGGGAGCCGGGGGGGTCAGGCTCTGCTCCAGGGAACCAGCAGTAGGACAAGAGGGCACAGCCTCAAGCTATGCCAGGGGAGGTTTAGGTTGGACATCAGGAAGGAATGTTTTCCATGGAGAGTGCTCAGCCATTGGAATGGGCTGCCCAGGGAAGTGGTGGATTCTCCATCCCTGGAGGTGTTTAAGGTGAGACTGGATGTGGCATCAGTGCCATGGGCTGGGTGACAGGGTGGGGGTGGGTCATAGATTGGACTTGATGATCTCGGAGGTCTTTTCCAACTTGGTTGATTCTGTGATTCTGTGAATTTCTTCCTTTTACCGCCTCAATAACTCGTGCAATCCTTGCGTCCTTAGGACTTTATCCACCAGTGACGATGTGGAGGACAGGGAGACTGAGAAGGGCCGGCTGGAGGAGGCCTATGAGAAGTGTGACCGGGACCTGGACGAGCTGATCGTGCAGCACTACACGGAGCTCACCACGGCCATCCGAACCTACCAGAGCATCACCGAGCGCATCACCAGCTCCCGCAACAAGATCAAACAGGTACAGGCTCACCTGGGCTCTGCAGCACCTCCACTGGGGCTGTTCTGGGGGAAAATCCCTGCAAGGCCTTGTTCCTGTAGCGTGTTGTTAGAAAATGCTGGTTTAACCTTTTAGTTCTCCCTCTGGTTTTCCAGCTTCTTGTCATCGCTCTGAACTGAGTTAAAACTGAATTGAGAAGGTGCTGTTAGCCACTGATCACTCAGTGAATACCCATTGTTACTTATTAATTACCCACTGTTACCCATTAATTACTCACTGTTACCTGCTAATCGGCCAATGAATACCCAGTGTTACTCATTAATTACCCACTAAATAGCCACTGTTACCCTCTAATTACTCACTGTTGCCTACTAATCACCCAGTGAATGCCATCTGTTACCCATTAATTACCCACTAAATACTCACTGTTACCCATTAGTTACCCACTAATTACCCACTGTTACCCATTAATTACCCACTAAATACCCACTGCTACCCATTAATTACCCACTAAATATGCACTCTTACCCACTAATCACCCACTAAATACCCACTGCTACCCATTAATTACCCACTAAATACGCACTCTTACCCACTAATCACCCACTAAATACTCACTGTTACCCATTAATTACCCACTAATTACCCACTGCTACCCACTCACTGTTACCTACTAATCACCCAGTGAATACCCACTGTTACTCATTAATTACCCACTAAATAGCCACTGCTACCCACTAATCACCCACTAAATACCCACTGTTACCCATTAATTACTTATTGTTACCCACTAATCACCCACTGAATACCCACTGTTACCTACTAAAC